CCCCAGCCTCTGACCGTCTCCTGCGGTAGCCTGCCCCCAGTCTCTGACCTTCTCCTGCGGTAACGTGTCCCCACCACACCAGTGGCACATCTAGAGTCTTTGAGCGGTAGACAACATTTCTAGAACTTTATATCTCTTCTCATACATTTATTTAACCCGATCCAATCATTTATAGGAATATTTCATCCTATCCTGTTTGTTCTTTTGTCAGGTGTTAGGATGTCAATGAATGAATTTGTGTTTCACATTCAGGGGTCATGTTCAACACCGGCATCGGCCAGCACATCCTGAAGAACCCTCTGATTGTGAACAGCATCATTGACAAGGTCGGTGATATTCTGCTTTCACACTCGGCTTTATCTCTGGCTTTGAAGCGGTTTCAGAAGGATTGTACTGATGAGGAAACATTTTTATTTCAGGCTGCCATCCGGCCCACAGATGTGGTGCTTGAGGTCGGTCCAGGAACAGGAAACATGACTGTGAAGTTATTAGAAAAAGCAAAAAAGGTAAAAAGTGGATTCAGCTCTGAAGTCAGGCCGTATCTTTTCTTGGAGGAACTGAACTCTGGAAGCTGTGCCCAGACAATGGCAGGCGGAGGGCAAAGGATCATCACCCGTATTGCCTGCAGGCTCCTCCAGGCTGATCTGTCCCCATTACTTATGTCATTGCTGCACTGTGTCACCATTCGCATGTCATCTGACATCCTGTGATTACCTCTGGATGATGTTTGTGTTCAGCGAAGACTGTCCGCAGGTAATGGCAGCATGTCTGATTATATGCAAATGGCTGCAGGCGCTGTCAGCTATCATTGCTTACAAACTGTCAGCACTGTATACAGTACATCCCGTATAATAGTAATAGAGGGCAGAAGGATAAAACCTTGAGATTAACAGGCTTTTTACTGTCATGTTTTTCTAGGTTGTGGCCTGTGAGCTGGACACACGGCTTGTTGCTGAACTTCAGAAGAGAGTTCAAGGCTCGTAAGTAGAGATATTTATAAACGTGAGATAAAAAAAGTGAATTCCATTTTTCGTAGCCAATGGATAGCTTTGGTATGCCACCCTAACATGGTATTCCAAGTGAACTCCAAATGAATGTTAGGCCTGGTTCACACCTGGGCGTTTTACATCCCGTTCCTACGCTCTGTATTTTACAGAGCTCAACATGTGAAAAGGAATGATTGCCTATGGGCATGGTTCCCACCTGGGCGTTTCACAGCGCGTAGGAACGCGCTGAAAAACGCTCTATGCCCAAAGAAGTACATGAGCTTCTTTGGGGCGTATTTGCCGCACGTATCCATTGGGATACAGCCAGGTAGCCCTCGAAAACACACATTTTTTACCGCAAATCGCGGTTATGTCGTTCTTTCTGGTCAGCCAGGATTGTGCTTTCCACACTGAACAGCCGGACAGGTGATACATAGTTCCTGCTTTATCTACCTATGTCAACTCACTCTAGTGTTCATTGGACAATAAAGCAACATTAGGAGCAGGAAAGCTAAACTAGGAAGAAGGAAAATGAACTTCCTGCTCTGCAGATAGAAGAAGGTTTGTAACTCGGACAATTAAAGCTGACCTTTCCCCAGATCTTTAAAACAAACACACCTTTAGAAATGTTTAGTAATGACAATCTACAAACACATACTTCTAGATAATTGCCGGCTCAGGGGAGGAAAATGCCTTTCCCTGAGATCTCATGAGATTACAGATGAGATTTCCCAGCAATGCTCTGCTGATGACAAGGCAATCCCAATGTGCATTGCTTTGGCAAACTGAAGTAATTTTGCCCTTTCAAAGCAGGAAGTGATTGCTCTGCAAGTCTAAGTATTTCAAAATCGCAGCATTTTACACCTGACATGTCTATGTTATTAATAGTCATACATAGAGGGATGCATTGGTAGAATCTGATTTTTGAGTGTAAAGGTCCGCTTTAACCTTTCAGAGTTACAAATCCTTGAACTTATAACCCAGAAAACATTTCTGTATTTTAACTGCGTGTTAAAGGGTAATTCCACTTTCTCTGGTGAATCTGGGAAAATGGAATTACCCCCCTTCAATCCGACCTCCACCACTATACTTCCCTTTGGGCAAACACTCCTTCCCCTCCACTGCTTACCTGGAAAGTGGAACTACCCTTTAAGCTCTTTGCCTGGAGTTCCACTTTAACTCAGCAGGTCCAACATTTACAATGCAATATGAATATTCAGATTTTAGCACTTGTAAGAGAAATATTGTTAATGTTTTTAATTGCTATTATTTTTTTTTTTTCATTTTTGGTGATTTTCATTTACTATTTTATTTGGAATAGAAATAAAGTATAACAGAAACATGAAACCTCCTTACCATCTTGTCTTTAATTGTATTGTAACTGTAATATCTTCCTTATATTGTAAAGCGCTGCGCAAACTGTTGGCGCTATATAAATACTATGTAATAATATAGCTGGTGTAATAGGATTATGGGCGGGTGCATACTTTATTCTGGCCACTAGATGTCACACTATGCATTACAAATTGGAGATATAACTCGTCTTTTTAGCCAGTAGAAAATACAACTTGAAGTTGTTTGCAGTGTAGACTAAATATAAAACAAATTCAAGGAAATCTGTATACAAAGTCATTTTCATGTATTGTAGCTGCATAGTTTGGTTGTAGCTCCTCTAGGTCAGACCCTAGAACCGATCTGCTGTCTTGTGAATTGGTTCCGTTCTTGTCGTCATTTTTTTGCCAAAAATATTTTTTCCTAGACGCAATGAGGGACAATAATCAAATTTGTTGCACAGTTGGATACAAATTAGGCTGTTTCTCAAACTTTGTCACTTTGAAAGGTTTACAGTGTATTTACAATCGCTGCATCAGTATTCCAACTGTGACAGATTTGCAAAGTTCTGAAACAGATTTATTACTGAATGTCACCCTAAATAGATGGGTGTTTCTAAAGAGGATCAGAGTCGGGTTTTATTCTGTCGCAGTGCTACTTTACAGCTGCTGAGGAAGAAATATATGATTTCAGGCTGTAACCTGTATTTTGTAAAATTCTCACTGCTCCTGTTTAGCATTAGTTCAATAAATGCCCCTAATGTTTGTCTGAAGTAGGGCTGCAACTAATAATATTTTGATAATTGATTAGTCAGCCAATTATTTTTTTGAAGATAAAAAAAATTAAATACCATTCTTAATTTAAAATAAAATACACACATGCAGTGTTACAAACAAAACATCAGAATAAAACAACTGCATGCACAATGTTTTGCAATAGCACTACACTGGAACACACAGCATTGTGGTACCTTGCGTTCCAGTGCGGGTGATCACACTGGGTGGGAGGCGCATTTGGGGTCCATTGAAATGAATGGCGCTGCAAAGCACCTCCCGCAGCAGAATTTGTCAGGCCAAAACTGAAAATTACCTTTTCCCACCTTTTTTATAATTTAAAAAAAAATGTATTTGTATTGTAATCACATGGCGCTTGAATAGCTTTCAGGGAATGACAGCTGCCAGTGCCAGGATTCCACAGATGGCAACTGACTGTAAATACAGCAGGTAGTGGGCTGGTGCAATAGCCATCCTGCTATTGGCCATTTCAATTTGTAATAGCAGGCTGGCTATTGCATCCGCCCACTGCTTGCTGTGCCCTCCTCCCAGCATGGAGGAGAGAGCTAGGGAATCCAACCAACTAATCGATGATGAGACTAGTTGACAACTATTCTCATCAATTATTATCGATTAGTTGGTTGCAGCCCTAGTCTAGCTGAGAACACATGGTGCAAATACCATGTGATTCAGAAGGAATCTGCTGAAATTTGCTCCATTGGTGACTCTAAGCCCACAACAGAATCAGCTGCAAGAACCGTTGGGGTATCCTGACAACGGCCCGGCACTGCTCACGGCATTAGGTTCGTCCATCCATATTCTTCAGCATGGATAGAGGAATTTTTTATATTTGTTTTCATTCAGCCGTCAGGTTAAACGAATACAATGTAACCAGTGTATTCCCAGCTTTGATTGCCAACTAAATGTATAAGAAATGTAAAATGTTTTCTCTTGTAGAGCCGTAGGAAACAAACTTCAGGTTTTGGTCGGTGATGTGCTGAAGACAGATTTGCCTTTTTTTGACCTCTGTGTTGCCAACTTGCCCTACCAGGTACATTTGCCCAATATCATTGTTTTACACAATCAACGGTTTGGGGGTTGTAAGTTGCCAATAAGGCTGAGCTTCAAAGTATTCTTGTTACAAAGCTCAAAATAAGTATATGATGAAACCTTATTAATCAAATGATCGTGACTGCATATCACAACAATTACTAGCGCCAAAGATAAAGGCAGAGGAATTCTGTAGAAGTTGAGCATGGCTCTGCTCACCACCTCCTGGGCTCCTCTA